AGATCAATCAATCAGTGGAACCAATTGCCTCCTGGAGTTTGCCTCCTGCATTGCAGGAGGTCTCAAGAAAAGATTGAATAACCATTCCTCTGAGATGGTATGAGGACTCCTTCCTTGGGCAATCGGTTGAACCTCCAAGAGTCCTTTCAGCCTCATAGTTCTATGAAAAACGGGACTAACATTAAATACAAAGCAAAACAAATTAATGACAGCAAGTACATCAACCAATCTTGGAGCTGACATTATAAAGTGGTGGAGAGCACTTGCCCCCCAGGACCATCAACAGTAAATGAATAATAGTCAAGAAATATGAGTCTATGAAATACACAGCATAGCACTTGGTAGAACAGCCATGAAGATTTTTGGAAAAGATTTTTAAATGCTATGATGTGTCTATGCTTACAAAGTTCAAAATTGGGTAAGTCTTACTCAGTGATGGGATTCAATTTTTTTTTTACTACCAGTTCTGTGGATGTGGCTTGGTGGGCACGGCAGTGGAAGGATACTGTAAAATCTCCAGTTAGAGGTGGCATTTGCCAGTTCTCAAAATTACTCAAAATTTCCACTACCAGTTCTCCAAAACCAGTCAGAACCTGCTGAATACCACCTCTGGTCTTACTATTGCCTGTTATGCTCTACAGAAGCAGAAGTTGAATTTTTAAGAAGCAGGATAGGAAAAGTTTTGAGGTCTTTGAATGTGGGAGAAGACTCTTGAGAATACAATGGATAGCCAAAGAAAAAAAACTGTTGGGTCACTGAAAAAAAACCCCAACTCAGATTCTCACTTGAGGCACAAATGACCAAGCTCAAATTATTCTACTTTGGACACATGAGGTGAAGACCCAGGTCTCTGGGAAAAGGCGCTGATGCTGGGAAAGATGGAAGGAAGAAGATGATCAGAGCAAGGTTGGGATACTGTGGGGAGAGCTCAGGGACGGCATCATGGAAAATCTAATAAGCAAATTCAATTGCAAATCTATAAACTGGTTGCAGTAATGAAATCTCACATACAGCAACTTTTCCCCATGAAAGTTGCTTTAAGCTCATTAAGAACATGAGATCTGCTCTTCCAGTTATAGCCACCCCAATTTCATTTCTCGATGAGTGAAAAAAGAACTAGGGGTAACATGATAGCAGTCTTCCAGTATTTGAGGGACTGCCGGAAAGAAGAGAGGAGTCAACCTCTTTTCCAAAGCCCCAGAAGGCAGGACCAGAAACAATGGATGGAAACTAATCAAGGAGAGAAGCAACCTGGAATTAAGGAGGAATTTTCTGACAGTGAGAACAATTAACCAGTGGAATGACTTGCCTTCAGAAGTTGTGGGTGCTCCAACACTGGAGGTTTTCAAAAATAGATTGGATTGCCATTTGTCCGAAATGGATAGGGTCTCCTGCTTGAAAAGGGGGTTTGGATTAGAAGACCACCAAGGTACCTTCCAACTCTGTTATTCTCTGGAGAAGGATGTCCTTCTGGAAAAGCTGGCAGGAAACAGAAGAAGAGGACAACCAGCAGGCAAGGTGGAGGAGCTCCATTGGTGGGGGTGGGGGCACCTGATACTGATCAGGCGAGGAACAGATTGTCATGGAGAAAACCTATCTACGTGGCCATTCGGAGTTGAAAATAACTTGATGGCACAGATAATTCCTGCTTAGCAATCGCAGTTGGAACCAGCAACTCAGTTGCTAAGCAAAAAACCACGTGACCATGATTGGATTTACAGCCTTATTTTCCTTTCAGTTGTTCTATCAATTGGAATAGAGTGGAAGATCATTTAGTCCAACCTGCTGCTTGAGCAGGAGATCCTGTGTCATTCCAGACAAGTGACTGTCTAGTCTCCTCTTAGAATCCTCCAGTGACAGAGCGTCCACGACTTCTGGAGGCCAGCTGTTCCACTGGTTAATTGTCCTCCCCGTTAGGAAGTTTCTCCTTAGTCCCAGGTTGCTTCTGTCCTTGAGTAGTTTCCATCCATCGCTTCTTGTCCTGCCTTCAGGTGCTTTGGAAAATAGGTTGCCCCTTCATTGTGGCAGCCTCTCAAATGTTAAACAAAGAGATGTGGTCACTAAGTGAAAAAAAAAATCACACGACTGCTACCTTTCATGCCAAATTGTATAGAATTAACTCTGCTTCATGCAAGCAAAAAAACATGCAAATAGCAATCAGGTGACTGAAGGATGCTGCATTGGTGCTAAATGCACATCGGTTGCGAAGGACAAGAATGGTGATCATGTGACTGTGGGATGATGCTACCATTGTAAATGTGAGGATTGGTTGCAAAGTTACTTTTTGCTACCATTTTAACTTTGAACAATGGCTGCATGGGGCAGTCAGTAAATGAGGATCACCTGTACTTCACCCGGCACAAACTTTACTTCCATTGTAAAAAGTTGTTACTGAATTTGGCAATCACAATCTCTTTTCCACAGTCACTCAAGCTGTTCACTTTATGCTTTCTTGATATCATTTTTTTTCCTTTTTAAGACCTTCTAATCCTTTTTTTTTTGGTGTAGAATCAGGGTGACTGAATGGAGCCGAACATTTACTGTCCGGATGCCCTTTCCTGACACCTAACAGAGTTCACAGCAGATATTTTCTCTTTGTGCCCTGATAGAGAAACATCTGTCACTGCCCAGGATCGAATTCTCAGCCTTCTGAGCCGGAGGCGAGTGTCTGGCCCACTTGCTTTCTCTACATCAATAGATTCCCAATAAATGTTTTTTCACATTCAGACAGCTTAACAGTGGAAATTTGGTCTTCCAACCTAATAGTATGGCTGCCTTGTATTTCTCCCATTCCGCTGTTTTGTATTGTATATTTTTTATTGTTATTAAGCAGGCACACCAGGCACACAACCAGGAACACTTAATAAGGAGCTTCCTGTAGTTTTTGAATTCATGGTTGCAATGTTTCCCTTTGCAAAAATGTCATTCTTCCTGATCTTCAGACAGCTACAAGTCTTAACATAAAGGAAACATCTCACAGCCCCTTAATAAGCAAACCATCCATATTTTAACGTTTCTCCAGTTGCACCATGTATACTTGCAGCCTTGCTGTTTTTTAAATGTTCTTAGGACAGATTATTTTCATACTTTTTCTTGGATTACTATCTATACCAAAACACACACACAGACACACACACAATCTGCAAAATATTCCTTTCAGCATCTAGCTTCATCCGAGCTCATTTCTAAGCCTGGCTAAGCAATGGCAACCCATCACTCCAAGATCTTATTGTCTTCTCCAATGGCCGTGAGCTCAAGACTTAAGGAAACATGTGACCAAACACATCATTTCCATGTGTGAAATGACTGAGCGTTTGTCTGGGAAACAGGTACTGTTGTCCAGGTTGTCCCCTCTTGGCTTGGTCTTTGTTGAAGGAATTCAGTCATGGTTCAATGAGTTGGTGTGACCTCCATGGCAACCCGATTCCTCATCCATCCACAAGTAATTTCTTGTGCAGCACATGCAGCTATTCGCATAGTTAAGTCTTGAATAATTATTTAGTGAAATGACTTTGATCTGCATCACTTCCTAGTAGAACTGGTGTTAATGACCACTCATGAGCTCTGCAATTTTGTCTTCTAGCACTTCATCTCCAAGAGCTTCTCCTACGATCAAGACACACCTCTGTGAGTCTGTGGCAATCATGTTTAGCTGCCTGTTGAGACACCTGTAATCAGCTGAAGTGCCTTGGTAAGTGGATGGGAAATAACCCAAGGGGGAATTTGGGAAACGCTTAGGATCCCTCGCTCCAAATGTGTTCCAACCTGTGGAATTACAGGGCTAATCCTTCACTAATTCTCCCAGTCCTTCATCATAATCAGTCACATCGCTGACTTATATTTGAGATGTATACTTGCTCCTTCTCTACTATGACTTCACTTCACCATGACTACATTTGTGCTTGAACCACATAATTGAAATGTTATTTTTAAAATACATATTCATCAGTCACCATTTTGGTATCCTTCCGATTTTCACCATTTGCTGGAAAGTAACATGCAACTCACACCAGCCCAAGGATTGCTCCATGCACATAGTTAATTATACCAAAACACATTTCCATCTTTTCACTTATCATTAAATTATATTCCCACTTTCCTATCCCTATTCATTTCTTGCATTCCACAAAATCAGGCCACCTTTATTCAGATCTTTTGCAAGCTTTCCACCTTCTCTTATTTTCCCAGGGACAGAACTGTTTATACCAAATGGGCTCAAGATTCTCAGATTTATTTATTTTTCATTTTTTCTCATAAAGAGCCCCCAAAGCTGCAGATGGATCGATTCCTTTCTCCGCCTCTTTTCCTCAAAATCACCACCCTGCGAGGTCAGCCAGTCGGGTCCCACCTGGCCCCCTCCTGCTTTCCAGGCTGGTGCCTTCACCACCGGGGCTAACCCGCCTCCGACTTCGCCAGCACTCTTTTGCTCGGGCCTCTCTGAGGTCATCGGTGCGGCTCCGGCAGGCGCGAGACCCCCGCCCGGGACAAAGAGTTGCCCGGGCGGGCGCGCTCGCCGGCGGCTGGCATTTGGGCAGGAAAGCCGGCCGCCTCTCGTGCTCGTCTCATTGGGGGTTCCCGCTCTGGGGACCCCAAAACCGACCGCGGAGCCCCCACAACGGCCCGCCCCGAGGGGGGGCGGCGGGCCCGGGCGGGGCCTCCCGAGGACCGGCTCTCCGCGGCCCCGCCCACCAGCCTGCGTCCCCGCGCGGCGCCGGCAGGGGGAGCCCGCCGCTCGCGCCCGCGAAGGGAGGAAGGAAGGAAGAAAGAAAAGGCCCTCCCTCCCTCGCGAGGCCTCTGGCGGCTTGCCCGGCCCCGCCCCGCCGAGTCCGGCGCGCCCCTCCCTGTCGAGGTGGGGCTGGCCACGCCCCGTCCGGCGGCGGGCGAGGACCCCGGGCGCCGCTCTGCGATTGGGCGCCGCGAGGGCTGTCCGCCGCGATCGCCTGCGCCGGAGAGTAGAGCGCGCGGCGTCGCCCGGCGCGCCCAGTGCGAGCAGAGGAGCCGGCGCGGGCGCTCGACGGCGGGGACGAGGCGGGAGAGCGCGGGGGTGCTGCTGCGCCGCCGCCCCGCCGCCACGATGGCAGGCCCGTGAGGCTCCGCGGAGGGTCGCATCGCCGGAGTAGGCGCCGCCGCCGCCGGAGCAGCCGCGGCGGTGGCGGTGGCGGTGCCGGCCGAGGATGGGCCGGCCCGCGGGACGCCCCGAGCGCCTGTGCCGGGGGCTGCTGGCGCTGCTGCTGGCGCTGGGCCGCCTGGCGCCGCCGCTGCTGGCCAAGAGCCTGGAGCCGGTCTCCTGGAGCGCCGCCAACACCAAGTAGGTGCCCGGGGGGGGGAGGCGCAGGGGGGCGGCGGCGGGGGGGGGCAGCTGCGCGCGGCCGTCGTCGCGGAGAGGGGAGCCTCGGTCGAGGGCAGCCGAGGCGCCTTCGGGGCCCGTCCAGCCGTCGCCCCGGGCCGGCCCCGCCCGACCCTCGCCGGTCCCGCAGCTGCCTCCGTCCCGGGGAGAAAATAGCGCCGCCGAAAATAGCTCCTGTGTGGAGGCCGGCCGGCCGGCTGCGAAGAGTTCCCGGGCGGCGGGCGGCCTCCGTGCCTTTGGAGCGCGGACCGGGCGGGGGCCCGAGCGTGCCCCCCTCGCCGGCCGTGTCCGTCCGTCGCCTTCGGCCTCCTCCTGGGAAGAGCGGCCGGCAAGTCCCTGCCCTGAAAGGAGGTGGAAGCGCCTCTCGGTTCCCGGGAGCTGCGCGGCATCCCCTCCGCAGACTTTCCGCTGGGATTCCGCTCTCGAGGAGGGTCGGGTGGGGAGGAGAGGAGGTGTCCCCTCTGGAAGCCGCCGCCGAGAGCTCTTCCAACCGGCCCCTCCAAGGAAAAAAGGGGGCCTCCGTGACCGACCTGCCTCCGGATCAATGTTGCCACGAATCGCCGAGCATCGCGAGGTGCAAATTTCGCCTTCTGGAACTTGTGCGGAGGCGAACGGGACGGCTGGGGCAGTTGGGCCAAAAGCTGCTTCCCAAAAGGGCTTGCATTTTGTATGGTGCAGTTCGGGGGGTGGGGGTGGAATTGCTCCGGCTTGACGGTCGGAAATGCTCCGTGTGTTGCAACCTGCTCGTTGGTAGGTTGGATGCCCGGCTGGCAAGACCGACCGGGAGGGCAGAAACGCGTCGCTATTTCGCTTGGAGCTCGCGTTAGAAGCGAAGGGCTCGGTTCTTCTTTGTTAAGCTGAATGCAGCAAGGCATGGGAGGGGGGGGGGGGGGGGGGAGCGTTTCTGGGAAGTTGGGTCGGTCCCAGTGGAGGCAACGGGGAATCTAGAGCAGGGGTCTCCAACCTGGGCCCCTTGAAGCCTGGAGGACTTCAACTCCCAGAATTCCCCAGCTGGCTGGGGAATTCTGGGAG